CCCCATTTCCATAATTTTTAATATGTTCACATGGTGCAACCATCACCATAATCAATTTTTAGAATGTTTTCTCACACCCCACTCAGCCTCCCAAGTAGCTGGGACTACAGGCACCCGCCACAACACCCAGCTAATTTTATTTTTTTATTTTTTAGTAGAGGCAGGGTTTCACCGTGTTAGCCAGGAAGGTCTCGATTTCCTGACGTCATGATCCACCCGCTTCGGCTTCCCAAAGTGCTGGGATTACAGGCGTGAGCCACTGTGCCTGGCCCCATTTCCATAAGTTTTAATATGTTCACATAATTGTGCAACCATCACCATAATCAATTTTAGAATGTTTTCATCACACCCCAAAAAGCCCCATGCCCACCAGCAGTCATCCTTGTTTCTCCATCTTTGTCTTATTCTTGCAGGATGTTTTTATTTTTTGATAATTTGAATATGTTTCAAAATAAAATATTATGAAATTATGATATATATGGTGTTAGGAACAATAAACTACAGTGTATTAGAGTGTCTACTTTGGGAGGCCGAGACGGGCGGATCACGAGGTCAGGAGATCCAGACCATCCTGGCTAACACGGTGAAATCCCATCTCTACTAAAAAAATACAAAAAACTAGCCGGGCGAGGTGGTGGGCGCCTGTAGTCCCAGCTACTCCGGAGGCTGAGGCAGGAGAATGGCGTAAACCCGGGAGGCGGAGCTTGCAGTGAGCGGAGATCGGCCGCGCACTCCAGCCTGGGCGGCAGAGCTGAACTCAAGTCTCAAAAAAAAAAAAAAATCTGTCTTTGCAGTTCTTTTGGTCATGTGGGTGCTGTGTTCAGAAGTCCACCTGGAACAATTCTTTTTCACAGTTATTTATATCCACAACATTCTTACATTGGTTCCATTTATTTGAATTTCTATTTGGGAGTTTCTCTCTCTCTCTCCTATAATTTTTTTTTTTTTTTTTGAGATGGAGTCACTGTCACCCAGAGCTGGAGTGCAGTGGCGCAATCTTGGCTCACAAGCTCCGCCTCCCGGGCGCTCATGCCTATGCCTCAGCCTCCCGAGGAGCTAGGACTATAGGCACCCGCCACTGTGCCTTCTAATTTTTTTGTATTTTTAGTAGAGACAGGGTTTCACCGTGGTCTCAATCTCCTGACCTCATGATCTGGGTACACCGGCCTCCCAAGTGCTGGGATTACAGGCAAGCCTTGCATGCTTAGCCCCTCTTTTTTTTTGGTAATATAGATAAGATCTCCCTCTGTTGCCCCCGACTACAGTACTGGTGGTGCAATCACTAGCTTGATACAGCACACCGTGGGAACTTCCTGGCTCAGAGTGATACTTCCACCACCCCAATCAGCCTCCCAAGTAGCTGGGACTGCAGGTGCACCATCACGTCCAGCTAATTAAAAAAATATATATATATATTTAGTACAGATAAAATCTTGCTATGTTGCCTAGACTGGTCTTGAACTCCCAGGCTCAACTGACCATCCCACCTTGGCCTCCCAAAGTGCTAAGATTCCAAGTGTGAGCCACTGCACCCAGCCACTCTTTTTGTTGTGTTTTGCTTTTTTAGAGACAGAGTACTGCTGTGTCGCTCAGGCTGGAGTGCAGTGGCACAATCATAGTTCACTGTAGCCTCAAGCGTTTTTGAGATGGAGTCTCACTCTGTCACCCAGGCTGGAGTGCAGTGGCGCAATCTTGGCTCACTGAAAGCTCCGCCTCCCGGGCTCATGCCATTCTCCTGCCTCAGCCTCCCGAGGAGCTAGGACTATAGGCACCCGCCACTGTGCCCGGCTAATTTTTTTTGTATTTTTAGTAGAGACAGGGTTTCACCGTGGTCTCAATCTCCTGACCTCATGATCTGCGTGCCTCGGCCTCCCAAAGTGCTGGGATTACAGGCGTGAGCCACCGTGCAAGCCTTGCATGCTTAGCCCCTCTTTTTTTTTGGTAATATAGATAAGATCTCCCTCTGTTGCCCCCGACTACAGTACTGGTGGTGCAATCACTAGCTTGATACAGCACACCGTGGGAACTTCCTGGCTCAGAGTGATACTTCCACCACCCCAATCAGCCTCCCAAGTAGCTGGGACTGCAGGTGCACCATCACGTCCAGCTAATTAAAAAAATATATATATATATTTAGTACAGATAAAATCTTGCTATGTTGCCTAGACTGGTCTTGAACTCCCAGGCTCAACTGACCATCCCACCTTGGCCTCCCAAAGTGCTAAGATTCCAAGTGTGAGCCACTGCACCCAGCCACTCTTTTTGTTGTGTTTTGCTTTTTTAGAGACAGAGTACTGCTGTGTCGCTCAGGCTGGAGTGCAGTGGCACAATCATAGTTCACTGTAGCCTCCAGCGTCTGGGCTCCAGCAATCCTCCAGCCTCAGCCTCCTGAGTAGCTAGAAATGCTGGTGTGAGGAAGGTGGTGGGACTCTACATCACCTGCTCTGGAGGTCGGGCTCGGACTTACTGAGACCCTGGTGAGGACTAGCTGAAACTTTGCATTAAGGCAGAAGCAGCTTTCCGTAGCCACCGTGCCTGGCCCTCTTTTTTTTTTTTTTTTTTTTTTGGTAATATAGATAAGGTCTCTCTCTGTTGCCCAGGCTGCAGTGTGGTGGTGCAATCATAGCTTAGTACAGCCTGGAACTTCTGGGCTCGAGTGATACTTCCCACCACCCCCAATCCAGCCTCCCAAGTAGCTGGGACTGCAGGTGCACCATCACGTCCAGCTAATTAAAAAAATATATATATATATTTAGTACAGATAAAATCTTGCTATGTTGCCTAGACTGGTCTTGAACTCCCAGGCTCAACTGACCATCCCACCTTGGCCTCCCAAAGTGCTAAGATTCCAAGTGTGAGCCACTGCACCCAGCCACTCTTTTTGTTGTGTTTTGCTTTTTTAGAGACAGAGTACTGCTGTGTCGCTCAGGCTGGAGTGCAGTGGCACAATCATAGTTCACCGTAGCCTCCAGCGTCTGGGCTCCAGCAATCCTCCAGCCTCAGCCTCCTGAGTAGCTAGAAATGCAGGTGTGAGGTAGGAGGTGGGACTCTACATGTACTCTGGAGGTCGGGCTCGGACACTGGACCAAATTGAGGACTAGCTAAAACAAGTAGGGCAGAAGCAGCTTTCCATAAGACACGCTCACCAGTGTGCCATGGGAGTTTACCATCGCCCTGGCAACACCCAGAGATTACCATCCCTTTCCATGGCAGTGACTGGACCACCCAGAAGTTACCACACTCATCCTAGAAATTTGTGCATAAACTTTCCCTTCATTTGCTTGTAATTAAAAGTGGATATAAAGATGAGTGCAGCAGTGCCTCTGAGCTGCTCTCCTGGGCACACTGCCTATGGGGTACCCCAGCCTGTAAGGAGCAGTGCTCTGCTGCTGCTGTCTGCTGTGGCTTCAATATCAACTAGAGTTGCTGTTAAACACCACCAGCTTGCCCTTGAATTCCTTCCTGGGCAAAGTCAAGAACCCTCCCAGGCTAACCCCCAATTTGGAGGCCTACCTAACCCGAATCATCTGCTGCCACCATGCCCAGTTAATTTTTTAATCTTTTTGAGACAAGGTCCTGCTGTGTTACATAGGCTGGCCTCCGACTCTTGGCATCAAGAGTCCAGCCTTGGCCTCCCAAAGTGGTAGGATTACAGGCTTGCGCCACTGGCAAAGCCTCTCTTTTTATTTTAATCTTATTAATTTTGTAAATTTTTTTAAAGACAGCGTCTCCCTATGTTGGCCAGGGTGGCCTTCAACTCCTGGCCTCAAGTAATCCCCTCCCCTTGGACTCCCAAAGTGCTAGGACTACAGGTATGAGCCACCATGCCCAGACTGAATTTATTTTTGGTAATGAAAAATATTTACACAATTCAAAGGTCAAAACTATGAAGAGAGTCAGACTTGGAGGAGCTTCCCCTCCTTCTCCTGTCCTTCCCTGTCCTTCCACCTTCCCCTCCATCCCTACCTAACTTATTATTCATTTCCAGTTTATCCTCCCATGGTTTGTTTTTGCAGAAGCAAGCACATGTGGGCACATACATGTCTGTGCCCAAACACACATGTCCACACACAGCCTCACACATAGTTATGTATATGCTCACATACATGTGCACATACATATTCTTGCTTGCCCTCTGTTCTACCGTTGTATACACACCATTCTAACCTGTTTATTTTCATTATTAGAAATTATCGTCATTTTTTTTTTCAGTCGAGTTCTCCGTTGCGTGAATATCCTTGATTTTTCCAGTTAGTCCCTGATGATGGACACTTGGGTTTTCAGGTCTTTGGCAAATCAGATGCCCCAGTGGACTTGCGCCCCGGGCTGGGCTCCCTCTGCCCTTCATGAGGGGTGCCCAGTGGAGGAGGGGCGCCTGCAGTCTGATCAAACTCTTGCATTTTTGCCTATCAGGGAAGCGAGACATGGATCTCACTGAGGTTTTATTTTTGTGTAGTTTAACTTGCATTTCTCTTACGAGTGAGGCTCAGCCTCTTTTCCTTTCTCATTTCTGTGAACTGTGATCTGTCTATATCACGTCTGTATCCCCCACTAGCTTGTCAGCCCCACCGGGCAGGGGCCTTGCTTGCTTTCAGCTGCGGTGTCCATAGCCTAGAAACATGCCTAGGCTGTCTTACGCCCAGTAAATGTTTCACTGAGGAATGGAAGAAGGAGTGAGTGAACGCAGACGCCCATCACTCCCCTCTTCGTCCTGATCGTTCTGAAATCAGGAAATAGTACACATTCGGGAGAAATAAAGAAGGAAGACCACGGAGGTCCCAGGGAGAGCCGGGGCGGGTGGGCGGCAGCGCTGCTCCCCCTACCGCAAAGGCCTAACTGCACCCCTTCTCCGCCACGCCTGGGTGCCGAGTGCCCCCCGCTCCCGCCCCGGGAGCTGCACATCCCTCTGCTTCTTACAGACCCTGGAGTCGGTGCAAGGATCTCTGCGGCCCAGCAGTGGCCGGGAGACAGCCGGGGCGTCCTCCTCCCGCTCCGCCTCCCCACGCGCCCGCCGCCCAGGGACCACAGAGACCAGGTGGACACTGCTTCGTTCGTTGGTTTATTGGCGCATTACGCGGTAAGTGGGGCTGGGGAACCTGGAGGGGAGGGGCCGCAGCCTGTCCTGGGGGTCCCGGAGGCGGCGCTCAGCGGTACTTCTCGGTCAGGACAGAGGATACGACCGATAGGAACTTGTCCCAGGCGGCGTGGGCCTCGGCCGTGAAGTCGGCGGGGAAGCGCGCGGCCAGGGTGACCAGCAGGCAGTGGGACAGGAGCTGGGGGCGGGGCCGGTTCAGCGCGGGGGCGGGGCCTAGCCCGGGCCCCGCCCCTCCCCACCCAGCGATCCCGCCCCGCCCCGCCCCGCCCCGCCCGCACCGCGCCCCGCTCACCTTGAAGTTGACCGGGTCCACGCGCAGGATGTAGGCGTGCAGCTCGCTCAGCTTGGACAGGGCGGCGCCGATGTTGTCGATGTTCTTCGCTGCGTCGCCCACGGCGGCCACCACCTTGGAGCCGTGCGCTTGCAGCTGCGCGGACCCCGGGTGCAGGTCGAAGTGCGGGAAGTAGGT